GTATCAACATTGTTGAGAGAAAGAACAGCTTCTCTACCTTGTTACTGCATTAATCTGCTTTATCTTGCTTAGTTTGGTAACTTGTTATGATTATTTCCTTGTTCTTAGGCTCTCTGAGGTCCCTTTCTCACAGTTGCCTTCTACACAAACAGTAGCTGTAATAACACATTCTTCTGGTGTCAGCATCCAATTCCAAACTCTGGGCTACTGCCAGCCATGTATCTTGCTTGATTATGAGCCTTTCTTAATGTGCAGAGTATGCCTGGCCTACTGTTTTAATTGTTGTGTTAATTGTGCTTTATTGTTACAACATTTCACACCACCTTCCTGAAATGTTTATTATGTAGGTATTGTCACTGGCCTCCAGGTGTTGATGGCAATAGGTTGTTTAAGGATGATCCCCTAGGTATAAAACCTTGGTAAAATTCCTTATATTTATTAATAGATAAAGCAGGAACAACAATTAGTAAGGGTGATGAGAGGTCCTGGAAGCCTTCTGGCTCAGCCGTATGCTTGTTCTTATCTCTGAGAAGAAAACAGACTTGTTCCTCAACTGTCCAGTAGACTCATTGCTCAGTTGTCAAGATGTTTCCTGATCCCAAAATGTCAGATGAATGACTTGTCCCCAGAAAGGTGTATCTCAGTCTTGCATGTTTATGTGCTTCAGAAGTGAGTTCCCTGGCAAAGATGGTGGGGTGAACATCAGATCTTCTTTTATTCTTCTTCAGAGACTTGTCAGAGCTGAAGGCAGAGCAGATGAGGCTTTCTGGATCCATCCTGGTGAACTGCTCCCATCTGAGCTCCACCGTGCAGCTCTGGGAGTCTGTCACTGTGGGCAGATCTGCCCTGAGGAACCAGGCGCAGCAGCAACTGGAACAAGAAACCAACGGGAGGAGTCAGGAAATGATGTACCTGCAAGCCAAGGGGGACCTGGAGAGGAAGGAGCTTCAAGACAGGTAAAGGTGTCTTAAGCTTTGCTATTACCACCCTTCTCTTCTGTGGCTGCTTGGGTTCTCAGAGGGGCTATGTTCACATTTAAACCACACCCATTCTGCACAGCCTGGGCCTGTCCCCAGCCCAACTGTTGCCTTCCACAGAAAGGACAGAAAACCCTCTGACTGACAGAAGCTCTTCTGAGTAGGACAGGACTGGAGAAGAGATTGCACATAGCAGGGGTTTGGCTGTTAACTGGTTCTTGGTGAGAACCCGAGACCAGCAGAAGAGCTCTGTCTCCTGGACAGGAGCTGGGAGGAGTTTGCCCAGGGCTCTCATAAGCCCTGTAGCACCTGTGCAGTGAGAGTTCCTTGCAGGACTGGCTGCAGCACCTTTGGGATGAGCAGGGGCATGGTGCAGCATCAGGTACATTGCCCTGGGGAGAGGAAAGCTGTCTTTGCTTTGTTCTCGTGTGTTGAACCTTCTCTGCTGAGCTTCTGGGAGCTGCAGAGCTCTGTAACGGGATGGTGAGCAGTGCTTTTGGAATGGCACATGGACCTTCTCTTCTCAGGGTGCTGGAGCTCTCATCCCTGCTTGTACAGTCTCAGAAGCAGAATGAGGAGAAGGAGAAGACCATCAGAACACTGAATGACACTGTGGAGATTCTGGTATGTTGTACCTTTCTCTGGGAGATAGCCCAGCCTGAGCATAGAGCTGTGCCTTTCTCCAGAGAAGGGGTGGCAAATCTGGCATCTGGGAGCATCAGGCACCCTGCCAAAATGTTCCTGGTGTTTGGCATACCTGGAGTCAGTCCAGGTGCAGCAGTGGCAGAGGAGCTACAGATGACTCAGGTGTCAGGGTTTGCACCAATGCTCTTCTGCCTGTGTCCTTAAGTCTCCAGGGATCAAACTTCCTTGGAATTGGCAGCTTCCCAGCAGTCTGTAAACATTGGCTGTTGGTCTGTCATGTTCTTAGTTCTAGAAAAGCAGCAGCTAAATAGTTTGGGAAGGAATATACTGAAAGCACTGGGGCTGAGGCTGATCAGCATGGCAATGCCACTGAGGATGGGAATGCTACAGAGGCGAGCAGCTCTTCCCTGCCCTCCCTTTCCTTATTCTGTTCTCAGGAAGCAAGTCAGTTAGAGAAAGAATATGAAGCTTCATTGACTAAAAGTGCCAAAGAAGAGAATCTCTCCCTCCTAAAGCTGATGAAGGATATAACTGAGGTGAGTCCAGAGTTGGGACCATGTCACTGCAATTTGATTTAAAAGTACTTGAGGAAGGCAACAGACTGACCCAGGGAATAAGTACACACGTTGTATGCTCTCTGTGTTAACTGCTGATGGCTGTTTAATTGTTACACCACCTTTCTGACAACATCCCTGTTAGAATTCCAGGTTGTTTGTCCTGTGACACCTCAGCTGGGTCACTAGAGGTTTCCATACCTTTGCCTTCACCCTCCTGCTCAGGTCACTCTTGAGCTGTGCTTTCTGAGTTGGCTGCTTTACATTTGTACTCCAGGGTTGCTTGGAGGCTTCCCCCACCCTCCTTGAGCAGTGACTCTGCTGTTCTGCAGGCTTTTGTTGAAGGTGACTGAATGAAGTGAGGCACTTGCCCACTCTGCCCCTTCACTGACCATAATCCTCTCCCCACAGTTGCAGCCAGTCTGACTGCCCAGGAGTAACTTTAAGTTGGGCCTAAACTTGGCTCTGTAGAGGGATTTACTCATCAGATCTTTTACACAGCCTCTGACAAAGTCACTTCTTTCCTTTCATCTACTTATTTTTATCTTTTTGTGCCAGTGCTCAAAGTAATTAGCATTTTCTCTGCTGTTTTTCAGTATTCCTCATCATCAGATCTTTTACACAGCCTCTGACAAAGTAATTTCTTTCCTTTCATCTACTTATTTTTATCCTTTTGTGCCAGTGCTCAGAGTAATTAGCATTTTCTCTGCTGTTCTTCAGTATTCCTCACCTTCCTTCCCTGACAGTGTTAATGTTCCCTTTCCTTGCTCCCTCCAGTGTTGGTGTGGTGCTTGTGTATGTGGCTCTGAGAAGCTGAAGGAGACCAAAATAATTCCTGAGAGCTTCAAGCAGCCTCCAGCCATTTCATACCTGTTTCATGATTACAGTAGCTGTATTCAGCAATCCTGGAGGACTTGTTGCCACAGGGACAAAACTTATTTGTTGACTGAAGAAAGGAGAGAATCGAGTTTTTAATGAGTCTAGGCTGAAGTGGGTGAAAAAGGAGAAATGGTTAAAGAAGCCTGAGTAGAATGAGCAGAGAGTGACAGCTTGATGTGGGCTTTCAGGTGGTGTTGGATGACAATGACAGTGTGGTCAGCATTACCTGCACTGACAGTTCCCAGCACGCAGAGTCCAGCAACCTCCTCTCCTGCCTGAGCTCCTTTGATGCAGAGCACACCTTTATGTTGGTTCAGGAAGCGCTGGCAAGGAGGCACAGAGCAGCACAGGTGAGAATTTCTGCTTGTCTTCACCACTGTCCACAGGCTCAGCTGCTAATGCCTCACTTTGCTTGAAACTTTTCCATTTACTTGCCAGTTCAGCCCGTTTCTCTCCAACCTTCCCACTCACAGTACTGTATTGCCTTGCCAGTCTCTCCAGCTCTGTGCTCTGCTTTTCTCTCCTTGATCTCCACCCCCTCATCTCAGCTTTTGCCTTCAGGTGAGCTGTCTCTCTGCTTGCTGCTTCTCCCACCTGTCTGGAGTCTTTTTCCCTGCTCCTTATTGCTCCTTTGTGGCCTTTCCCTGCCTGTTCCTTGCAGGCCCTAAAGGAAGAGCTTTCTGCCAGGCAGGACTCCGTCAACTTCCTGCAGCACCAACACAGAGAGCAGGAGGAGAAGTGCAGGAAGCTGCAGCAAAGGCTCGAGCAACTGGAGGAGGAATGCAAGACATCCAGCAGCCACCAGCAGCACCTCCAGTCTCTGGTAGAAGCACTCAGGGGGTGAGTGTTTCCTCCTTCTCCTGTGTTCCTGAGGCAATTGCTTCCAGTCCTGGGAGTTCAGTGGTGCTATGGGCAAGGAGCTCACCTGCCCTACCATGTGTGTGCCTCTTGTTTGGCACTTCAGCATCCTCTTGCCACTGCTTTTTGTGCTTGCAGTGAATCCTAAGGCTCTCTTGAAGGGTCAGAGTGATGTTGGAATACAAGGCATCTTGCCTCACTCTTGACCTGCTTCTCTGACTTTTGGTTTTGGCTGCCCTTCCCCAGCCCCTGCTGCTGCCTGAACGGAGGCAAAATCCTGCCTTTCTCTTTTTCTCCTCAGTTTCCTTGTGAGAGGAAGAGCAAGTTCCTCCTGGCTGTGATCCGCACAGCTCCACCCTGGAATGATGGAAATGGGGTCTGTGACTCTTGAGGCCTCTTCACTCTCCTAACTGATCCTTGTCTCTGCAGTGACTGTGCCACCCTGGAGAAAACCCGGGATGAGCTCCAGCAGCAGCTGGAAGTGAGGGAGCAGGAAGCCTCCCGGCTGCGTCACAGCAACACGGAGCTGCAGCTGAAGGAAGATGTGGCTCAGGGGGAAAGGGAGGAGCAGCAAGAGATGATGGAGAGAGCACATCGTGACCAGGAGCTCCTGTGAGTGTTCCAGCTTCCTCTGGGCAAGGGGGGCATCTCAGGGCTTTAGGGGGCCCAGTGAAAAGGAATGAGTTTTGCACCCTCCTCACGTGCTGTAGAGAAGGGTGAAAGGAGCACATGGCAGGTCTCGTTGCCAAGTGGCACAGCAGGGCTGCCTCCTGCCTCCCTGGTGACCCTGTGAACAGCTCATTGCAGGCCTGACCAGAGCAGCTGATGACAGGCATAAGCTGCAGTGAGAGAGATTCAGGCTGGATTTAAGGAGAACAAAAAGCTGAACCATTAAGTCAATTGTGCAGCAGAACAGGTTCTCAGAGAGGTTGTGCAGAGTCCATCCCTGGAAATTTGGAAGACCTGACTGGGTGGAGCCTGGAGCAACCTGGACTGATCCCAGTGCTGACCCCAGCTGCTTGGGACTGAAGGTTGGGCTAGAGGCCTCCTGGGGTCCCTGCCAGCCTGAATCTTCCTGGGATTACTGGATTGGAAATTCATACTCATCTCCTCCCCAGACAGACTGCAGGCTCTTTCCTTGTGTCACTGCTAGGGGAAGAGTCATTCTGGGAGTATTAGACTTAAGAAGTCTGTCTTACCCAAAGAAGGACTGGGGAAGTTTTGTATCCAATGTGTCCAACAGGAGAGAAAACTAACAGGCAGGAGGCTGGTTAGGGGAGGATACCTGAGGTTTTTCGGAAGCGTTTTGTGGTGGCTGGAACCTTGTTTTACTTTCTTAGTGACCATTGTTTCACCTGCCTCAGTGACAAGAGGAATGCAGCTCTAGTCAGGAAATCCCAGCATTCTTTAGGTGTAAATTGTTGGAAATCATTCAGACTGCCCTGTCTGGGACCTTGTGTGTTCTCTTGGTTTTGGAAATGAGAATGCTTTTACATTAAAAACTGGTTTGTCTTTCCTCTTCTCTTAGGCTGAAGGACTTGGCTGCACTTGAAGAAAAACATTCATTGTTACAGAGTGAGTTGGTAATGGCAAGAGAGACAGTGGAGGAATTGCAGCTTCAGAGGGATCTGCTGAAGCAAGAGAAGGATGAGCTCACCACAGCACTGGAGAAGGTATGGTCACCTTTTTTCTGGGTAGCACCGGTGGGAGAGAGATTTGTGATAGGACTACACAGATGCTGTTTCTGGGCAGTAGAAGATGGTGAAAATGTTGTTCCCCTCCTTGGAAAATGGTGATCAGACCACACAGGCTCTTCGCGGTGGTTTGTCCCCACATGCTGAACTGGAATGTGTCACATGGGGATGTGGGGATGCTGCTTGAAGTCTGGGATGTTCCTGCCTTTGTTGTCATGTTCGTCTGTCTCTTCAGGCAGAGCAATCGGTAGCAGAGTTGACAGGGGCTCAGAACAAGCTGAGTGCTGAAGTAGCTGATCTGCAAGTTGCCACGGTGAAGATGAGCAGTATCAATGAAGCTCTTGCACTGGATAAAGTGGAACTGAACAAACTTGTGCTGCAGGTGAGCACAGTTGTCAAAGATCTTACCAGGTGTTCACCTCGAGCTGCTGCTTCTTGGAGACTTTTGCCTTCCAACAGGATGACTGAATATGGAACTGTTCCTTTTTTTTGTCCAAGCTAAACCTTCTTTATAGTAAATCTGACTCTTATTTTATTTCTTCTCTGCTTCTGTGCTTGTAGCTGGAGCAAGAGAATGAAGCTCTGTCACGTAAAGTGGAGGAGATGGAGAGAGCAAAGCTCTCTGGCCAGGAGAAGCTGAACATTTGTGCAAGAACAAATGAAGAGCTCTGTGCAGAGAAAGCCCACCTGGAGCAGCTATTGAAAAAAGCAGAGGAGCAACAGGAGGGGCTGCGGGGACAGCTGACCATGCTGGCAGAGGAGAAGCAAGAAACTCAAGAGAAACTCAGTCAGGTGAGACCAAAAATCTGGTGCTTCTGGGTGGGCGTGTGGCTGCTTGGCTCAGTGAAGCTCTGTCTGTCGGATTCTGCAGGGTCTTTGTCAAGGAGACACTTGGTGGTGCTGGGCATCAGAAGACTGTACTTTTGGGGAACATGTTGGTGGCTTGTGGAGCTGCTCTGCAGCTCTCTGAGTTGTCCTCTGCTTCTACAGGTTATTTTAACCCACTTGTCTGTGTTGGCCTCTTTTTTTGGCTTTTGAAAAGCTGCAGAGATGACACTGTGGTCCATGAATCCGAGGGGGCTACGACTGTTGCATGTGGCAAGAGAAACAAACCATGTAGTTCTGAATCCTTTCTCTGAGGCAAAAAACAGGGCTGCATGTTTCTATTTATGCTTTTTGTTGTGAAGTCTGTGACTTCCAAACCTCAGTTTGCTTGAACCTGGAGAGCAGAACAAAGCTGCAAGTCAGTGTCTGCTGTCTTGTGTGGCCAAGAATGGGAATGACACCTTGAAATTATTGAAACTGTTTAAGTTGCTGTGGCTAGTGAAAAAGGGCCTTGGGGATGTCATTCAACATCTGGATGAATGTGAGCCAGCATGTGCCCAGGTGGCCACCAGCATCCCTGGCTTGTATCAGCCCTAGTCATCTCCCTGTGCTGGGCACTGCTGAGGCTGCACCTCCAATCCTGGGGTCAGTTCTGGGCCCCTCAGGACAAGAAGGACATGGAGGGGCTGGAGCGTGTCCAGAGAAGGGCAGTGGAGCTGGGGAAGGGGCTGGAGCACAAGTGTGATGAGGAGCAGCTGAGGGAGCTGGGGGTGTCCAGCCTGGAGACAAGGAGCTGAGGGGAGACCTGCTGGCTCTGAACTGCCTGAGAGGAGGTTGGAGCCAAGGGGGTCGGGCTTTGCTCCCAAGTAACAAGTGATGGAATGAGGTGATACAGCCTCAGTTTGTGCTAGGGGAGGTTTATATTGGTTATTAGGAACAATTTCTTCTCAAAAAAGGTTGTCAGGCCCTGGCCCAGGCTGCCCAGGGAAGTGGTGGAGTCACCATCCCTGAAGGCATTTCCAAGCTGTGTAGATGTGGTACTGAGGGACCTGGGTTAGTGGTGGCCTTGGCAGGGCTGGGTTAATGGCTGGGCTTGATGATCTTAAAGGTCTTTTGCAATCTGAGTGATTCTGTGTATTGTTAGAGCCTCTTTAGGCTTTGAGGAGGAAGATGAGAAGTAGGTGATCACACAAGACTCTTCACTCTGAACTGATTTTGGTCCCCTGGAAAAAGAACTTGGGAGATTCAGGTCAGAGGAAGAGACCAGGCAGTTTGTCATCTTGTGAATGTCATTTTCATCATGTACAATCTTGAGTGTTGTGGGATAACTTGGAATTGTTTGTTTGTGATGGTCTGTTCTGTGTTAGGTTGAGCTTTGAAGCACCTGGTGTGTTTGGCACATACCCAGCAGGTCATACTTAAAAAAAAAGCTGAAAAAAAAAAAAGAAGCTGAAAAATCAAGGTTAAACTTCAAGCTTGAACACCAGGAAGGGGCATTAGACAACTTCTTTGTGTGAGACAAGTGAACAACAAACTGTTGTTGACAAACAGCGTGTCTCTTTGGCCACATCAGCCAGACTGCTTTACACCTGACCTACAGAACCACAGAACTGCTCTGGTTGGGCCTTTCAGATGATCGAGTCCAGCCATGAATCCAACTCTACCAAACCCAGTGCTCAGTAGGTGATACTTTGGATTTTTATTAGAAGGAGAAACCCTGTGTTTTTTCACTTTCTTCAGCAAGCAAAGCTACTTCTGCTTAATGTTTCCTGAAAGTTTCCCACACTGGAATAGATCCTGATGGAATTTCAGTTTGTGAGGTGGCAGCTGTGGAAAATGCAGTATTTTTACATCCAAACTCATGGTCTGGAGTCTGTGTGTTAGTTGTGCAGGAGCTGCCTGGTCCCAGGCAATCCAGCAGGGCCTTGCACATCACTTGGAAGTTACCAGTGCCTTTGGCAGCCCAGGGTGTCAGCGTGGTGGGCAGCAGATGCTCTTCAACTGTCATCCCCCAGTCCAGGAGCTCTGTCTCCTCTAGGTGGTTTAGCAGTGGCCCTGGGCTCTGCACAGAACTCCAGAGGAAGGATTCTGACTGTACTTTGTCCCACTCCCAGGTTTCCCACCAGCAGGAGCTGGCTAGCAGTGGCCTGGAGCAGCTGCTCCAGGAGTCCTCTCGCCAGGGGCAGGCCCTGGCCAAGGTGTCCAAGGAGAAGGAGTTGCTGGTGCATGAGAAGGCAGCCCTGGAGGTGCGACTGGCAGCCCTGGAGCGGGACAGACAGAGCCTTTCTGAGCAGCTGGCACAGAGCAGGTAAAGGCAGGGAGCTCAGCCCAGGCAGGGTGTTGCTTCATGTCTGTCAGTATAAAGGTGGTAACCATGGCAGGAGGATCTATTGCATCCTGTGTGATCTTCTGATGTTTTCACCTTCCATGGATAGAAAATGGAAGAATCATGAGCAGAAAAAAGAAAGCATATGGTGATTTGAATGGTATTTTTAAAATTATTTAGGCTCGCAAAGCTCTCCTGAACCTTGGGCTTGTTTCTGCCCCCTTACCTCTTCCTGTGGGAAGTCTAGAGCAAGCCACCTTGGCTCTGAGTTGAGTAATAAGCAAACCATGCAGACATTTACTGAAAACAAGTTTTTCCTCTGGTTTGGTTTTCTTGTTCTGTGCATTTGAACACAGATCTTTCCTCACCAAGTAGTTTGAGATGGGATCTTCAGAATTCAAGGCCATTTCCTACTGACATTGTGAGTAGGACACTGCCACTGAGGGTGAAGCTAGAGGCTGAAAACCTTGAGGACCTTCTGTTCCTAAGCTAACTCTTGTCACCTGTGGTGCAGGCCCCAGAGCTGGGTCACCAGCAACAGGGAAACCTGTTTTCAGTCTGTGACAGTCCTGGGGATTCTTGCCCATGGGTGATGTCTGGGCCCTGTACTCCTCATCACATGCTATTTAGAGACACACATCCTGGAGAAGTTAGGGACAAGATTCTGTGTTTCTGATGTACCAGGTCTCTCAGATTGACTGTGATAAGTTCTGCTTTTCCAAAAAACAGAAACAAAGTATTGAGATATTTGTTCTAACCTTAGGTGTTCCTTAAGAAGTTCTGCTTTTCCAAAAAACAGAAACAAAGAAGTATTGAGATATTTGTCCTAACCTCAGGTGTTCCTTAAAAGACTCCTGAAGTTGCAGAGCTCTACAAATTATGTTTTAGAGATTGTTTCTCCTGCTTCTTGGTTTTCCCACTGCAGAGTGTGTTGTTAGCAAGGCTGATAAACAGCATTTAGACTTGGTTTCATGAGAGTTGCTGCTTCTTTTGAGCTCCAGCTTCTCCTACTTGATCCAGATGATTTATATTTGGTCAATTATTGGGCTGTTGTTACATTAATAAATGTTCAGCTCTTTTATTGCTTTTTTTAAAAAAAGAAAAAAATATCTTTTTAGGCAGAGATAAATTAGTTCTGAGGAACCTTTGGCAATAGAGAATGAAAAATCAGGCATTATTCTTGCCAGATGTTCTCAAGAGCCTTTTGTTGTCACAGCTTTGGTGTCTCTCTTTTCTGTTCTGGTTTTGATTTATCCTTAAGATGGAGCATGTTTACTTTGGACTGCCAGAGATTGGTGTGGTCACAACTGTGTGTTTGTTCTCCTTCTTGAAGACACATCCCCACTGCCCATCCAAGTAGTGAAACTTTCTGTTGTGGCTTTATTGTTGTACCCCTCAGGTGCCCCTGTACTTAAGGGTTGTTCTCCTGGTTGCAGTGCTGGGTGTTGTAGGAACCCGGCACAGGGGACACTGTGTTAGGTCAGGGCAGTAACAGCAGCTCCTGGTTCTCGGTTCTGTGTTTCACAAGCACCAGCTGATGGAAGTCTAGAGCAACTGGGGCTACTGCCTGCTTAGCTGGCAACACTAAATCAAGGTAACAAGTTTTTATTTTCAGCTTCCAACAACTTAAACTGAAGGATACCTGTCCCTCCTTTCACAGAGTGGCCAGGGTTGGAAGGGACCTCATGTGGTCCAACCCCTGCCAGAGCAGGGTCACCTACAGCAGATCCCACAGGAACACATCCAGATGGGTTTGGGATGTCTCCAGAGAAGGAGACCCCACAGCCTCCCTGGGCAGCCTGTCCCAGGGCTTTGTTACCCTCAGAGTAAAGAAGTTTTTTCTTTGTTTAACTTGAACCTCCTGTGCTCCAGCTTATGCCCATTGCCCCTTGTCCTGTCATTGGACACTGTGGAAAAGAGACTAGTCCCATCTTCTTGTAGTTCTTGTTCAGATAAAATCTAGTTCAGATTTCTCACAAATTCTGCTACAGGCATGAGATTTTACTATGGCATTTGATGAATTTCTTTAGTCCCCTTTTTGTATAAGGAATCTGGGAAATTATCTGCCTTTGCCCACACAATGAACAGCATTAAAAAGTCAAAAAGGCAAATACTTTTCTGTCCCCTGCAGAGGGGGCTGGAAGTGCTGATGGGCTGAGGGCTGTGAGCAGAGGCTGGGCTTGCTGACATGACTTTATGGACACAGCTGCCCATGTTATAGATCAGACAACTGCAAAGATTTGGCTCTTGAGATCAAGTCTGTCTGGACTCTCTGTGCTCTCTAGGTCATAAGAAGCTCTGGGCATCCCCTCAGAGGGGCTTGTCTTGTTGGTTTAAACAGTAGAAACCTGTTTTCTGTCTACAAGCTTCCATGCAACCCATTTTCCTTATGCAGGTGTGGGGATCTTGAACAACTTCTTACTGGAATGACTCCCTGTGGGTGTCGGGAGCAGAAACTCACTTCTCTCTGTATTCACAACTTGCAGATCAGGGAAGGAGAGCCTGGAATCCAGCCTGTTTGAGACTCAGCAGCACTTGTCTCAGCTGGAGATCACCAGGAGCCAGCTTGAAATCCAGCTCCACACAGTCACACAGGCCAAGGAGGTGATACAAGGTGGGAGCCTCCTGTGCTTTGTTTCTGGTGATCCCCATGCCTAGGGAGGATGGTATGAAAGCATCTCTGACCACAAGTGCTTGTGAGGAGTGAAGGGGTCTGAAATTCCAATGGCTGAAGGTTGGTAAAGTCAGAACCATCTGTGCAGACTGAAGCTTGCCCTTTGTGGTGTTTGCAGGGGAGGTGAAGTGCCTTCAGCATGAGCTGGAAGCAGAGAGATCTCTTATGAAGCAGGAGCGGGAAAACATGGCTCAGCAGCTGCTGCAGGCAGAGCAGCAGCATGACAGCAACCTCCAGCTTCAGAAGACTGATCACCAGCTGGAAATAAAGAAGCTTCTGCAAGACCTGGTAGGAAACAACATGCTTCTGAGTTCTTCAGGCAAGCTTTGTGGGCTGGCTTTGGGAGAATAAACAGCTGAGCGTGTGAAATGGCAGCAACCATCTGTCACAGACCACTCATTGCTGGGGCAGGCAGCAAAGCCATGGGCTCATTCTTGGAGGTGTGGGAAGAGCCCCAGGACTGTGCTGGGACAGTAAATGCAGCTGCTGATTGAGTGATTCAGTGTGGGTGTAAGATGAGTTCAACTAAACATTGGATGGTCCTTGCCCAACACCTGGCAGGAAGGGGGTTGGATCTTGCCAGACTCATTGTCTACCATGAAGTAGACTCTGAACTTGGCTGCCAACATCCTCTCTTTCTGCCCTCTCTTTCTTTCTGCCCTCTCTTTCTTTCTGCCCTCTCTTTCTTTCTGCCCTCTCTTTCTTTCTGCCCTCTCTTTCTTTCTGCCCTCTCTTTCTTTCTGCCCTCTCTCTTTCTGCCCTCTCTTTCTGCCCTCTCTTTCTGCCCTCTCTTTCTGCCCTCTCTTTCTGCCCTCTCTTTCTGCCCTCTCTTTCTGCCCTCTCTTTCTGCCCTCTCTTTCTGCCCTCTCTTTCTGCCCTCTCTTTCTGCCCTCTCTTTCTGCCCTCTCTTTCTGCCCTCTCTTTCTGCCCTCTCTTTCTGCCCTCTCTTTCTGCCCTCTCTTTCTGCCCTCTCTTTCTGCCCTCTCTTTCTGCCCTCTCTTTCTGCCCTCTCTTTCTGCCCTCTCTTTCTGCCCTCTCTTTCTGCCCTCTCTTTCTGCCCTCTCTTTCTGCCCTCTCTTTCTGCCCTCTCTTTCTGCCCTCTCTTTCTGCCCTCTCTTTCTGCCCTCTCTTTCTGCCCTCTCTTTCTGCCCTCTCTTTCTGCCCTCTCTTTCTGCCCTCTCTTTCTGCCCTCTCTTTCTGCCCTCTCTTTCTGCCCTCTCTTTCTGCCCTCTCTTTCTGCCCTCTCTTTCTGCCCTCTCTTTCTGCCCTCTCTTTCTGCCCTCTCTTTCTGCCCTCTCTTTCTGCCCTCTCTTTCTGCCCTCTCTTTCTGCCCTCTCTTTCTGCCCTCTCTTTCTGCCCTCTCTTTCTGCCCTCTCTTTCTGCCCTCTCTTTCTGCCCTCTCTTTCTGCCCTCTCTTTCTGCCCTCTCTTTCTGCCCTCTCTTTCTGCCCTCTCTTTCTGCCCTCTCTTTCTGCCCTCTCTTTCTGCCCTCTCTTTCTGCCCTCTCTTTCTGCCCTCTCTTTCTGCCCTCTCTTTCTGCCCTCTCTTTCTGCCCTCTCTTTCTGCCCTCTCTTTCTGCCCTCTCTTTCTGCCCTCTCTTTCTGCCCTCTCTTTCTGCCCTCTCTTTCTGCCCTCTCTTTCTGCCCTCTCTTTCTGCCCTCTCTTTCTGCCCTCTCTTTCTGCCCTCTCTTTCTGCCCTCTCTTTCTGCCCTCTCTTTCTGCCCTCTCTTTCTGCCCTCTCTTTCTTTCATTCCATGGATGACAGAGCTATTTTCCTGGGGCTTGAAATGTATGGCCTGTCCTGTGACTGGAGCACTGGGGTGCTGGTCTTCTTCTCCCCCTGCCACCCCGCTGCACCTTGTCACTGATAAAAGGGAGGTGAGCTTTGAAAACAGAGATTGAGAAGAGAGAAATCCCAAGGAGAGAGGTGCCAGGAAACAAGCAGCCATCAGGGAGGGGAAGGTAACATCTCCTTTCCCCTATGGTTGGACTCAATCTTTTTTTTCAACTTAAAGGATTCTGTGGTTCTTCCACTCACTGGCCCTCCTTGCTAGGGCATGTCTTCTGGAGGGCACAGAGTCACTGCTGTGCACTGTGCAGGGAGGGCTCTGGGAGGGATAAAGCACCACTTTTTGTTGTTGAGGAGCTTGGCTGGAATTCATCTTGAAGTCTTTTCCTCCCCTCATCAGGCAAGCGAGCGGGAAAGGCACCACTCAGAGCTGCAGGAGATGCTGGAGCAGTGGGAGGAAGAGAAGGCAAAGACAGAAGAGAAGCATGAGAAGAAGCTGCTTGACATGAAGGAGGAAGTTGCTACCATGCAAGCTCAACAAGAAGAGGAACAAACCAGATTGGAAAATGCCAAGCAAGAGGTAGAAACTGTGAGAGGAGGGTCTGTGTGGTTATTTGCACAGCTCTGCTGTGGGACGTGGCTGGATATGGGCTGTGTGGAGCTCACCCTACATATTTTCTGCAGTGAACTTGGTGAGGTGAAGGGCAGCATGGCCATTTTTGAGTCTAGAAATGAGACCTCTCATAGGCAGCCAGGCAGAAATGTCACCTTTCAGCTGAGATTTTTGTGCTGTTGTTGTAATCTGGTTTTTTCAAGTCTTACCTCGGAGTATCTTCACAGTTCTCTTAACTGTCCTTTTGATATTACTGATCCCTGCTTATAGCCTTAACTGCATTTCAAACCAAACTGAGTTTGTAGGACTCAATCCCCACCAGGATGGGTGGGTTTTTTGGTGGGGAGCAGGGGGATGTGGCAGGATTGCTGACAAAAGAAAAAATGCTGAAGACTTCTCTGAAATATTTCTGAGCAGGAAAGCAGAGGTGTCTTCTGGGCTGTGTTTCAGGTCATTTGCTGGGTGACTCTTCTGTGCCCAGCTCTCCTGTGCCAAAGGAACCCTGTCATAGACAGAGTCCTCTTTGTGTCCTACCCAAAGTCTGCCTGGGGGACAGCAGCACCCCAGCTGTGTCTGCAGGTATTGAAGTGACAGGGCAGTGCTAAGGGGTGACAGTGTGTGCCTGTAGTGTCAGTACTTGGCCTGTACCAGGGATGAATCATGTTGATGCTGCCAGTCTCTCCATGAAAGCTCCTAGTGGGCAGGTAATGACTAAGGAGACCAGCAGTGCAGTTCATTGAGAACATGAGCCCATCAGTCTTGGAGTCTTGCCCTGCAGAGTTTGTAGGGGAAGTTCAAGACCTTCTCTTTATTTCTATGCAGGCCCTGCTAGAAAAGGAGTGTGAGAAGAATGCTTTATTGGAGACACTTCTGCAGACTGAGACAGAGCTGAGAGAAGCCCACCAGCAGCTGGAACAGCTCAGGCAGGAGATGGGAGAGCAGCAAGAGAGTGGGCAGGTGAGTCTGACTGGTGGGGCAGGTGGAAGGAGCAGGCCCTTGGCAATTGGCTGTGAGCTGAGAGAGGCTGAGAGAGCGAGGGAACAGGGTGAAGGGCAGGAACAGAGGGGTAAAACAAGCCCTGGGACTGAGGAGACAAGGACTGCTGCAGGCAGGGACAGCACAGAGCCTGGTGAGCTCCAGGGAGCAGTGACAGGAAGGGAGGGTTGCTCAGCAGCAGAGCTGACAGAAGGGGCTGAATGAATGTAATTTTGAGGCAGAAAGGAAAAAGCTGGACCTGGTGGCAATCCCAGTAGGTTGCTCTCCATTTGTGCTTGCAGAACACGGCAGAAAAGCTGCAAGCAGAGCTGCAAGAAACTCGGAGTGAAGTAGGTTGCTCTCCATTTGTGCTTGCAGAACATGGCAGAAAAGCTGCAAGAAACTCGGAGTGAGCTCAAGGCCATGGAGCAGAGGCACGAGGAGGAAATCAAAACCATCAAAGAGGAAATTAATATTCTGCTTCAGCAGAGGGATGCTCTGCAAAAACAGGTGACTGAAAGAGCAATGGCCACTCCTGTCATCAGGCAGGTGCTCTCTCCCCTTCTTGCCTTCCCATGGCAGAGCAGGCTGATGGGGCCATCCCTCTGGCTGCTGTCATCCTGGGGTCTCCATCTCAGCTGCTCTGAAGATGACTTACTGGTCAGCTGAATCTCAGTTGCTGCCCTGGCCAAATGGGCTGGTCATTTTGCCTGTTTGCCAGGCCACATCAGAGTGGGTTTCTACTGGGCTGTTTCTGGTGGCCTTGGTTTTTAAGCGGATTTTTCAGATGAACATGGCGACCCTCTTAGATTTTTAAAGAAGTCAGCTGTATCCATTGTGAATCTGGTACTCCCATGACAGGGTGGAATTTGAAGTTGTTCTTTCCCTCTCCTCGCAGTCCATGGTGTGGCTGACAGTGACAAGCTGTAGTCTCTGACTGCTTTATGTTTTCCTTGAGGTGGAAGAGTTGACATCTCAGCTCACAGCCTCTGAAGAGTCCCAGCAAGTGATCAGCTGCAAAGCTCAGCAAGAGCTGAGTGAGGCACAGGAACTGTCAAGGCAGAAGGTGCTGGAGGTTGAGCATCTTCAGAAGATCTTAGAGAAGAAGAGGAGTCAATGGGAGGAGGTAGAACATCAGAACAAGGAGCTGCAAGTGTGTCTGCAGACCTTGGAGGGGGAAAGGAGCCGATGGGAAGAAGTGGAACGTTGCAACACGGAATGTCAGGCTTCCTTGAAGGTCCTGGAGAGTGAAAAAGCCAGGTAAAGGAAAGCCTGGGGGACTCTCCATTCTGGTTAATGGATTCCCTCTTCCAGACCTTTGCATGTACAAATGGCTCTGGCAGCATTTCCTAAAATACAGAGTCTGGAGCTGCCTGTGCAGATACACTTTGTTCTCTGATGTGTTTCGTTTTCTTTGAATCCTTCAGTTACAGTTTTTCTGAAGACAGTGGCTTTTAGAGTAGTCCTTCCTTAAAAGGAGATACTCTCTTATTGACATGTTAATACTGTTAAATTAAACTGTCAGGGGTTTGAACCTCAAACACACTAAAGGAAGCAAGACAAGATACAATGTAATGAGCTTGACAGATCCATCAGCTGCTCCTTGGGTCCAGTAAACTTGAACCATTTGGGGTCTGTATCAGTCTTCCATCCTGATACTGTTGGTTGGCAGAACCCAGCTTCACAGCATGATTTTGCACTAAGCCAGATTTCCCCTCTGAGGCACCCAAGAAAAAAGATTGTTTCTTCTTGCCTTCTGTTTCCTTGTTCCTCAAAAAATCCCAGCAGGTGTCTGGAGAGGTCCGAGCAGGATCCCTGCCAGTCTCAACAGGTACAGATGTCACTGACTTTCCAAGGAATGCAAGGAAGGGGAGGTAGGCTGCTTCACCTGGTAGTGTCCTGCCAGTCTCCAACACTTGCCTTTATTGAGGCAGTGCACTCATGCTTCCCCAGGAGGGATCCTGCATCTTCTATAAGGATCCCAGTATTTCCTCCAAGCCTCCATTACCACTTGTGGCATTGGCCTTTATTGCTCTAGCTGAAAGTATTATGGGTGCTGGCAAGTCTTGTGAAACTCCCCAGAGATCAGTCACTTGCTGCTGTTCCTACCAGGACACCAGAGTCAGGGGGAGAAAATCTCTCATCATCAGAGACAGACTGGAGAGCTGGGCAAAGATAAACCTAATGAGGTTGAACAAGAGTAAGTGCAGAGTCCTGCACCTGGGGAGAAAAACCACCAGGCACCAGTATAGATTAGGTATTGACCTGCTAGAAAGCAGCTCCATGGAGAAGGACCTTGGGGTCCTGGTGGACAGCATGTTATCCATGGGACAGCAATGTGACCTTGTGGCCAAGAGAGCCAATAGTATCCTGGGATGTATTAAGAACAGTGTGGCCAGCAGGTCAAGGGAGGTTCTCCTCCCCCTCTGCTCTGTCCTGGTGAGATCACATCTGGAGTGTTGTGTCCAGTTCTGGGCTCCCCAGTTCAAGAGGGACAGGGATAGACTGGAAAGAGTCCAATGGAGGCTACAGGGATGATGAAGGGACTGGAACATCTGTCTGATGAGGAAAGGCTGAGAGACCTGGGGCTCTTCAGTCTTCAGAAGACTAAGAGGCGACCTTATGAATGTCTAGAAATATCTGCAGGGTGGGTGTCAGGAATGGGCCAGTCTCTGTTCACTGGTGCCTGTGACAGGATGAAATGGCACCAAGTGACAGCACAGGAAGTTCCACCTCAACATGAGGAGAAACTTCTTTCCTGTGAGGGTGACAGAGCCCTGGGACAGGCTGCCCAGAGAGGCTGTGGAGGCTCCTTCTCTGGAGACATTCAAGACCCACCTGGACATGTTCCTGTGGGATCTGCCCTGGGGGATCCTGCTCTGGCAGGGAGTTGGACACAATGATCTCCAGAGGTCCCTTCCAATGCCTGTGATTCTATGATTATTGACAAATCCTCTTCCTCAGAGTCTCATTAGTTAAAAGAAAAATTTTCCTCTTTCCTAATGTCTTCATTTCAAGACTTTTTTATGTTTATAGTCACATTCCCATGAAAAGGCAGGGTAATTCACCTTTCTTTTGTGCAAACAAGCATAGTGGGCATGTGCTTGGTGTGACTGCCAGCCTGGCTCAGGACTGAACAAACAGCCTGGTTCTTTAGACAAAACTCAGCAGACAAAACAATTTTTTTTCTTGATGGTGGAAGTGTTAAGAGTTTATTAAATGTTATACCATCTAGTAGAGTTACATGTTCTCTCTTTCAGACTGACTGTGTCTTTGGAAGAGAAGGAACTGAGCCTCAGAGCCCTGGAGGAAAACAACCTTGCCCAGCACAAGGAGGTATCTCAGCTGCTTTCTGCTGTTCACCAGGCCCAGCAGCTCCATTCAGACCACAGAAGAGAAATACAAGAGCTCAACAACCAGGTGACCACTTGCATCTTCTTCTCCAGGGACACAGAACACCACCTACAGCTTGTAGGCCTCTACTTGTTTCCCCTCCCAACAACATGCACTCCTCCTGTCTTATTCCCAGAGAGGAATTCTCCAGCCCCTTGAGGTCAAGGCTGGATCTGCTCTGTGCTTCCCTTGTTTACCCACCTTCAGTTTGTAGTCCTCTACTTGTTTCCCCTCCCAACAACATGCACTCCTCCTGTCTTATTCCCAGAGATTTTTCCCCTGGAGGTCAAGGCTGGATCTGCTCTGTGCTGCCCGTGTTTAGTCCTGTTCTCTCATGGCTGACAGCATCAAATCTCTGAGGAGAAACAGGAGACTCTTTGGAGCTTTCCAGTATTTGTGTTACATTCTTGTGCCCAGGTGGTGTTTCTCACTGAGCCACATCTGGTGGGACAGCAGTGGTTCTCACAGGCTGTGGAAGGTGCTTCCATCACAGCCAGTTCATCTGGCATTTTCCTGAGGCTGGAAGGCAGGAGAGCCTGGCGGTTCAACCATCCCTTTGAGGATGGGGGAACTTCCTCTTGGCCCCTTGCCCTCCAGTTTCCTGTTTCTAGCTGATTTTGCTCAGTTGGAATCCTTGGCTTTGGGCCTTCTGTTTCCATGTGCTTTTTGCTTGAAGTAATTCATCCTAGAATCACAGAGTGCTGAAGGTTGGAAGGGATCATCAGGTTCCAACCCCCCTGCCATGAGCAGGGACACCTCCCACTAGACCAGGCTGCACAAGCCTCATCCAACCTGCGCTTGAACACCTCCAGGGACTGGGCAGTCACAGCCTCCCTGGGCAACCTGTTCCAGTGCCTTCCTACCCTCATGGGGAAGAATTTCTTCCTAATAATTCCCCCTTAATTCCTTCCTCTCCATCCCACTCCACTGCCTCAGCAGCAGCAGCAACTCTGTCCCTGAGACTCTGTGCATCTGTGTTACAGGTCCAGTCTCTGCAGGAATTAGTGCTGGAGAAGGAAGCTGCCCTGGCCAGGCAGGAGAAGCAGCTGCTGCAGGACCTGGAGCAGTCCCGGGCAGGAGAGCAGAGATTGAGGGACTCTCTGCAGGTGCTGGAGGCCGAGATGGCCGAGGTGCGGCTGCGGCTGCGGGGCGCGCAGAGCAGAGCGGAGGCTCTGGCCACCGAGTGCCAGCAGGCACAGGCTGCCCGCTGGGGAGCCCGGGCCCCGCTGGACAAACTGCACCTGCCTCTTCTCAGCTTCATCTGCAAGAGCAGGGACTTGGTCACTTGGAGTTCAGGCAAGTGTGCGAGGCTGAGTGAGCGGGTCTGTGGAGCTGGGGAGGGAGGGGTGGTTCCTTGTCATCCCCGTGTTCACTTCAGTCCTCAACAGCAGGACAGGAGAGCAGGGACAGAAGGGCTGGCTGGCTGGGGAGGTGTGGCATGAAACCACTGGACAGGCAGTGGGACAGAGAAATAAAGATGGAAAGAGCGGGGAGAGGAAGTGGGACAGAGGAGCAGTGAGAGGAAACAAGGGGCCTGGAGCAGGATAGAGGTGGAGAAAGAAGCATTTGGGCAAAAGGACAGAAAGAGGCAAAATAAAGACAGGAAGAATGGCCTTTTTCAAGGACATGGAACAATAAGAAATAAGACAAGGGGTGATGGCTTTAAACTGGAAGAGGAGAAGTTTAGGTTAGACATGAGGAGGAAATTCTTGGCTATGAGGGTGGTGAGAGCCTGGCCCAGGTTGCCCAGGGAAGCTGTGGCTGCCCCATCCCTGGCAGTGTTGAAAGGCAGGTTGGATGGGGCTTGGAGCAACCTGGGCTGGTGGGAGGTGTCCCTGCCCATGCAGGGAGGGTGGAACTACCTCTTTAAGATCCCTTCCAACCCAAACCATTCTGTGGATCTATGATTAAACTCATCCTTTCAGTTAAGACTGACTCAAGCCTTCGGAAGTCTTGAAAGACAGAGAGACAAGTCCGTTTGCATGTGGAAAAATGAGCAGCATCAAAATGAAATGGGGCCCAAGTCATGTCCAGTCATGGGGCATGGACATTCTTCCTTGGGGCAGCACTGACACTAGTGAACATCAGACTCACCTTAGCCTGTGACATGTCTCATTCATTGTAGCATGAGCTGCATGCAGGACAGTGTCAAAGGCACTGCCACCTTCTCCTGTGTATAAAGAGGCCTTGCTTGTTGGAGACCCTGCAAGTAAAGCTTGAAACAGAATGGCTTCTCTCTTCAGAACAGGCCCATGTCTGGAAGAGCTTCACGGTTTCTCAGACTGGGGACCTCCCTGCAGAGCTCACAGTGGACAGTGTGGCAGCAGCTCTGCAAGATGTGTGTCACCACCTGAAGCAGACTCAGCAAGACCTGGTAACGTGTCTCTAGTGCACCCAGAAATCCTGTCCCTCCGCTAGACTGACCTGATAGGCAGTGCCAGAGCTAGGATGGGTGTCACATCTTGTAGGCCACGTTGGCTTCTGCCACGGGGGCAAGGAGAGTCATGATCACCCCTGCTATTACTGTCCTGTCCCCTCCCACCTTGGCTCTTTCTGCTTTAGTGTTTGCACCTGTCTCCTGCCAGCAGCAGCTCTGTGAGCTGATGCTTCTCTTATCTCTTCCAGAATGATGAAAGGAAGAAGATGGAGGACTTGGAGCTGGAGCTGAGCAAGAGGCAAGCTGAGTTGGACCACTTCAGTGCCCTCAATCAAGCACTGCAGAAACAGTTAGCCCAAAGCCAGGAAGGTACTGGGCTTAGGGCCTAGAAAGCACAGGCAGGCATATAAGAAAATGATGTTTGCTCTGTAGGATGCAAACTAGTTTGGTTTTGATTTGCTTTTTACCTTCACCTTTCTTGCTGCAGAGACACAGATGGCAGAAGGCAAGAAGAACTCTCTGCAAACTGCCCTGCAGGAAGAGGCTGCTGCTCTGAAGAAGGAGACTGTGACTCTGCATCAAGAGGTGGCATCTTTGGAGAGGAAACTCAAGAGCACTGAGAAGCAAAGAGAAGATTTCCTGGTGAGGCTGGCAGATGATGGGAAGGGCCATTTCTTACCTATTTTTGGCCTTCTGTTAATAATTCTAAGGAGCAACATTTTCCAGTGGAGAGGTGATTTTGGGTGGTATTATACAGGTTCAGTCCAGATCTGAGAAGATAGAGTATGAAAATGCTGACCAAATTTCTCTCATTTTCCCCTTCCTTCTACTCATCATTCCTTGTTTCCCAGAAGTTTGCTTTCCTGCCAGACCATGACCATGAGCAGGGTCATCACCTTCCTTGTTTCCCAGAAGTTTGCTTTCCTGCCAGGCCATTAGTGGGAATGACCAGGGTCATCACCTTGGCTAAGAGAAGACAGTCCAGAAAGGAGGGATTGTCAGGATGACCAATATCACACACTATGTGGAGAGACACACAGACCACTACAAGAGCAGAGTTGTTCATCCCAGTGGTTGTTTTTTGGCTTAACTTTTCCAATTGCATCCTTCTGAATAAAGAGGGAGAGGTGCCATAGTCATCAAAAACTCAGTTATGATTCAGGGCATTTATTTTCATAAATTCTGAAGATTTCTGCTGTCAAAGGTTGAGTCAAAGTAATTTTCAAGCTTATTTCTATTTACATTCCATGGTTTGGGCAAATATTTGTGTCCAAATCCATATTTAGATCTGGAAAAAGGGGTGAGAAAACAAATTTTGCTAATAACAGAAAGTTGCTCAGCATTGCCCATCTGAGAGGAAAGTGAGGAGTAATGAGACATTTGAGAAATGAGAAGTGCTGATACAGCTAAATATGTGTGTCTGCAAGGGGAAAACTGGTCCTGATGGGAAACCCAGAATGACAGGCTGTGATCTGGCAGTTATTCCTGCAGAGGGGAACAGTGGGGTTCTAGAGGATGGCACCATGAAAATTCTACACAGTAGAGGTCCAAAGAAACCCAAAGCAACCTATAAATGAAGTGTTCTCTCTTCCTATCCTAATACCATCATGCCACTGTCTAAATCAGACTCCATCTGGACTTTAAATCCTGGCTGCAGTTCTGGCAGCTCCTCTCCAGACCACTAGAGCTAAAAGAGGTGCAGAAAAGAAGATCACAGAATCCCAGACTGGTTTGGGTTGGAAGGGACCTTAAAGATCATCCAGTTCCAACACCTTGCATGGGCAGGGACACCTCCCACCAGCCCAGGCTGCTCCAAGCCCCATCCAACCTGCCCTTCAACACTGCCAGGGATGGGGCAGCCACAGCTTCCCTGGGCAACCTGGGCCAGGGTCTCATCAACCTCACACGAAAGAATTTCCTCCTCATGTCTCACCTGAATCTCCCCTCTTCCTGTTTTAATCCATCCCCTCTTGTCCTCTCACTCCTTCCCCAGCTTTCCTGGAGCCCCTTCAGGCACTGAGTGAGGTGGGAAGGATGCAACCTAAAAAGGGTGATGCAGGAAAGGTCTCCAAGCTGCCAGGAGGCAGGAGAGGGGCCGGGGTCCTTCACTCTTTTCCAGGAGAGCAACAAGCTGTCTGACAAAGGCAGCGAGAGCCGCGCCACAAGTGGTGGGAGGTGGTACAGGTGGAGCAGCAGAGAGCTGATCAACTCCCTGACCAAGGGTGTTGTAAATACAGCAGGTCCATACGAGGTCAGGAGGAGACTCTGTAAGTCCTCCTGAGCTGGAGCAGTGCTGGGACTGGGGAGGTGCCATGTACATCCATCCCACTCTCAGGCTTTCTTCCCTGCCTGTGCCCTTACAGGCACCATTATACAAGGGACACCAGCCTGGACATCCAAGCCAGTGCAGCTGTGGTTACCTCATCCATACTCCATCTACAGTGATTCCAAAAATCAGTTCTGGGCAGAGGTTGATGAATACGATCAGTTCTCAAATCTTTTTTGAGTCACTAGAGAAAATCTACATCCAACAGGGAAATGAACCTTATAGCTGGAATTTTCTCCTAAAAGCTCAAACTTCAGCCCTTGGCTGCCACTGCAGCAGGAGTTGAAATCTAGTGTGACAACCAAACATACAAGGGTGGAATTACTGAATCTTTTCCTCCCTGTTTTGCAGCATGAACGGGACAGCCTGCAAGCACTTAAAGAAGAGCTGGTACAGGAGATGAAAGTTCTTCAGGACTCAGTCACAGCCTCTGAAACCCGAGCAAATAAAGCAACAGAGATGAATCAATCCCTTGAACAAGAGCTCCAAACTGCACTGTCTATCTTAAAAATAAAAAATGAAGAAGTGGAAACACAGTGGGAGAAGATCCAGATGCTGCAGAAAGAGGCAGCAGAGGTGAAAGCTTTGCAGGAGAATCTCAGTCGTGTGACTGCCCTCCTGTCAGAGAGGGAGGGAGAAGTGAAGTTATGTCAGGAACAGATGAGAATGATGGAAAAGCAGAATGAAATGCATCAAACTACTCTTGATCAGGTTACTAAGGAATTAACGGAGAAAAAAAAGAAGGCAGAATCCCAGCAGGAGCAGATATGGGAGCTGGAGAAACAGCAACAAAAACAGGAGATTGCTGTAAGCAAAATGAGCAAAGACCTGAAAGAGCGAGACCAGGACATCAGATCCCACAAAGAACAGGTACAGGAGCTGGAGAGGCAGCTGCAATTGCAGAGGACTGTTGTCAGCAAAGTGAGCAAGGAGCTGGGAGAGAGAGACCAGGAGATCAGATCCCACCAAGAACAGGTACAGGTGCTGGAGCAGCAGCTGGAATTGCAGAGGACTGCTGTCAGCAAAGTGAGCAAGGAGCTGGGAGAGAGAGACCAGGAGATCAGATCCCACCAAGAACAGGTACAGGTGCTGGAGCAGCAGCTGGAATTGCAGAGGACTGCTGTCCGCAAAGTGAGCAAGGAGCTGGGAGAGAGAGACCAGGAGATCAGATCCCACCAAGAACAGGTACAGGTGCTGGAGCAGCAGCTGGAATTGCAGAGGACTGCTGTCCGCAAAGTGAGCAAGGAGCTGGGAGAGAGAGACCAGGAGATCAGATCCCACCAAGAACAGGTACAGGTGCTGGAGCAGCAGCTGGAATTGCAGAGGACTGCTGTCCGCAAAGTGAGCAAGGAGCTGGGAGAGAGAGACCAGGAGATCAGATCCCACCAAGAACAGGTACAGGTGCTGGAGCAGCAGCTGGAATTGCAGAGGACTGCTGTCCGCAAAGTGAGCAAGGAGCTGGGAGAGAGAGACCAGGAGATCAGATCCCACCAAGAACAGGTACAGGTGCTGGAGCAGCAGCTGGAATTGCAGAGGACTGCTGTCCGCAAAGTGAGCAAGGAGCTGGGAGAGAGAGACCAGGAGATCAGATCCCACCAAGAACAGGTACAGGTGCTGGAGCAGCAGCTGGAATTGCAGAGGACTGCTGTCCGCAAAGTGAGCAAGGAGCTGGGAGAGAGAGACCAGGAGATCAGATCCCACCAAGAACAGGTACAGGTGCTGGAGCAGCAGCTGGAATTGCAGAGGACTGCTGTCCGCAAAGTGAGCAAGGAGCTGGGAGAGAGAGACCAGGAGATCAGATCCCACCAAGAACAGGTACAGGTGCTGGAGCAGCAGCTGGAATTGCAGAGGACTGCTGTCCGCAAAGTGAGCAAGGAGCTGGGAGAGAGAGACCAGGAGATCAGATCCCACCAAGAACAGGTACAGGTGCTGGAGCAGCAGCTGGAATTGCAGAGGACTGCTGTCCGCAAAGTGAGCAAGGAGCTGGAGGAGAAGGACCAGGAGATCAAATTCCAGGAGGGGAAAATAATGATTCTAGAACAACACGGTGCATCACAAGTGAGAAATCTGCTCATGGATCTTGACCATATGAAAGAAAATGTGAAGGAGAAAAATATAGAACTTATGTCCCTGACTCAGCAGATCCACAAACTGGAAAAGGAGAGAGAACAGGTGACATCTCTGCACACAAGCCTTGAACACCTGAGGGCAGCTCTTAAGGACAGAGAGAGTGAGTGTGATTCCCAAAGGGATCAGTTAAGACTCTTGCAGCAGTACAAGGAAGAGCAAGAGGGGCACCTGCAAGAGCTTCAGAGTAAATTAGAAGAGATGACACTTTCTTTGTCTGAAAAAGATCAAGAGCTTGAGTCACAACAAAAGCAAATCCAGGCAGCTGAAGCTGTGGAAATGCAGTTAAGGACTGTGCGTGAGCAGCTGGAGCAGACCTTAGAAACCTTAAAAGAGAAGGACAGACTGATAGACACCCAAAAGCAACAAACCAGGAGCTATGAGGAAAAAACAGAAGAACGAATTCACGTCTTACATAGACACTTGGAATACACTACAGCACTGCTGAAAGAAAAGGATGACACCATTGAATCCCAGAAGGAAATGATGGAGACCTTCCAAAAACAAGCACAAGCCTCTGAACAGCAGAAGGAAGTTCTGCAGCATCTTCAAGGGGCGCTGAAGGAAAAGGAGCAAGAAGTGTTATCCCTCCAAAAGCAATGTGAGGCATGCAAGGAAAAGGAGGAAAAACATGAAGCTGAGCAAGCAAATCTTCAAGTGACAAAGCTGACTCTGAAAGAAAGAGAAGAAAAGGTGGAGGTTCTGGAGAAGGCTGTCTCTAAGCTTCAAGAGCAGAAGGAGGAGGCAGCCATGCAGACTAAAGCCATTCTACAGAAACTAGAATATGCTGAATCTTGTCTCAAGGCCCGAGATCAGGAGATAGTGTCTTTGCAAGAGCACATGCAGGACCTTCAAGAGCAGAAGGAGCTGGAAGGCAAGCAGGCCAAGAGTCTACAGCAGGACCTAGACAAAATGAGCCAACTAGTGAAGAACCACCGTCAGGAGCTCCTTAGGCATGCAGAGCAAGTGAACGTGCTTCAGCTTCGTGAAGAAACCGTGAAAGCAGCACTAACATCATGCCAGAAGCAAGTGAGTGTGCTTGAGGAAGTGGTGAGGAAGAGAGAGGAAGACAGTGAAAGTCTGATGCAGAAACTCCAGTGCCAAGAAGAAGAACTGAAGACCTTGCAGAATCTCCAGCTTAGGCTGACCAAGACAAGGGAAGAGGTTAGGAACCACAGAGAGCAGGAGAAGCTCCTGGTAGAAGCCTTGGCTGGGAAGGAACAAGAGACCAAAGCTCCAGGTGAGCCACAGGAGTCAGAAGAGGAAATCCGAGGTCTTTGGGAGGATCTCCAGCACGTTCGGCAAACCCTAACAAAGAAAGATGAGGAGATCAAGCACCAGAGGGACAGAGTCAGGTATCTAGAGGAGACTCTGGCAGGGAGAGAGCAAGAGCTTCAGAGGCAGAGCGAGCTCCTGAAGCAAATAACATCAGCTTTGCAATGGAAAGATGACAGGGAAACCCTACAGAAACAAATCCAGAAGCTCCAAAACTGGGAAGAAGAGGAAGCAGAGAAGAGGAGAGTTGTCCAGGAGAGAGACCATCTCTTGCAAAGGCAGAAGGAGCTAACCCAGCAGCTGGAAAAGGAGCGGAAGGCACAGGGGGAAGAACTGGAGCGTGTGCTGGCTGTTCTGAAGAGGACTGAGAGTGGAGAAGTCGCCTGGAAAGAGAAGGCCCAGGCTCTGACTCTTGCCCTCAGCAACAGTGAAATGGCCAACGGGACTCTGAGGGGAGAGGTGGCTGTCCTGCAGGGCATGGTGTCAGAGAGGGACACGGA